TCAAGCACTACCACAACATGTCCAGCTCCCAGAAACACCTGGACATCTCCTTAACTGTCCTGTAATTTGTAGCTTTCAGCACTGACTCCATCCCAGATGGTTTGGAGTAGATGATGGTCCTCCTTTGGTGTGTGCTGGTGACACTTTTCCCCCTTGGGCCTCCCTCAGACCCCCAGGCTTGCCTTGTCCATTGGAAGATGTGGTGGAGGGTCAATGGATACATACATGGTGGCTGCCTTCAGGCAGCAGCTGGATGGACCCTAGTTGGGGTGTGGAAGGACAAGAAGGGGATCCATCAGCAAAGTGTCACTGCCACAAGCAGGCACCAGCTATAGAACCAGTTCAAGGAAATATGTTTTAGGCAAAATATAATGAACCTAGATATGAATCTTGATGTCACAAGGCAGTGCTGATGCCAAGAGCTTAATAGGACTTTTACAAGGATGAGACAGTTATGTGAATAATGAGAATAACCCATGGTTAAAGGAGTCAGGAAACCTTTCTCCCTTGCTGTTCCTCCTTTTTCAAATGACCGCCATGACCCCTTTGTCCCTGGGGGCTTGAACCAGCTCTGAACTGTCACGGTTAGGGAAAAACCTCCCTTTAAGGGCAAGTTATTACATAGCAGATTGCTGTGGGTTTTCTGCTACTTCCCTCTGAAGCATCTTGGGGTGGCCAGGAGAGAGGAGCTGACCGTGGGCAGAAATGCCTGGATCTCCTTTTAGTTTCCAAAACCTATCAGGGGCCCCAGGTCTCACTGGGAAAGGTGTCAGGACTGGGGATATGGGGAGAGCAGTAGCAACGAAGGGCTGGGGCAGAGTGGGATAGTGTGTGCATGTATTTGCTTGTAATTAGGAGATTTGAACTTCAAAAGAAGTTAATTAGTAATGAAACTTCTGACTGAATGATGCGGATTGTGAAGACAGGCTTTGTCAGCAGCTGAAATTAATTACAGGCTCAGGCACAGGGAGAAGGAAGGGGGTGAAGGATGCGGGGAGGGGGAGGCATCACTGAAAGAAAGATGATAAACCTGGCTGCAGGCTGTTGCCGTGGTGATAGGAGGCAGTTGCTGTGGTTGACAGCGGTGACACATTGAAGGCAGCAGGTACTTCTAATTACACCCTCCACCAACCCAAGCAGGCAGCAACCCCTCCCGACTCAGGGCAGGAGATGCTCTGGTTTTCTCCTAGCACTTTCTTCCTCTCTGCCACAGGTTGGATGTGCATTTTCAGGGTCCCCACCTGCTCTGAAAGGAAAACCGTGGGGCGGCAGCTTTTCCTAATGTCACTTTAATAGCCCAGGAGCAGCCAGCGATTCAGCAGCATCCTCAGGAAGCCTGGACAATGCTGGCAAACTTTCAGAGAGCTGGCATCCAAAAAGCAGAGGAGGAGAAACTGAGTGCAGCCAGCTACATCTTTTTGAGCACAAAATGAGGGCCTTGCACCGAATTGCAACATTTTTGGGAGTGCTCATGGTGGCTGGCCAGGTCTTGTGCTTTGGGGTCTCATCAGCTGCCTGAAGGCGTGCTGCCATGGTCTGTGTGGCCTTGGGCAGGGTGCACTGCAAGGGGAGTGAGAGGAGCAAAGGGAGCACGGGAGCATCCTGACCACTCACACATTGCTGCTGCTGAAGCAGGTGCACAGAAATGTAGATCTGTATGAATAAACTCCTGACTTTGAGCCCCTTTGCCTGAATTCCCTGAGTTTGGCTGCAGTCGAAAGAGTACTCCTTGCCTCCAAGTCTCTTGTATCATGTTTTCTAGATGTTTGCTGCAGAAAAATCCTGGCTTTTAAAACAATTTCTGCTTTTAATTTTTTTTACATATTAATTTTGTCTAGGGGTGTTCTAAGCACCGGCTCTGTCTGTACCTCTCCTGACTGCCTTATGTCCGGGAGAGAGACTTTTGCAACCATTGGCTCAGCCCACACTGAAACTTTTTTGGCCCGTTAAAGAGTGTCATTCAGAACAGATCCCTCAGCGCTTCACTGATGCTGCCTTTCCAGTAGCTGTCAAAGCACCTGCTGCAGAATGGAGAGGCTGAGAGAGCTGGGACTGCTCAGCCTGGAGAAGGCTCAGGGGGATCTTATCCATGCATGTAAATACCTGATGGGAAGAGTAAAGGAGACAGACTGCTCAGTGGTACATCAGGGCAACAGGCAATGGGCACAGCCCGAAACATGAGATATCCCATTTAAATGTAAGAAAACACTTTTTCACTGTGGAGATAGCCCAACACTGGAGCAGGTTGCCCAGAGTGGTTCTGGTGTCTCCATCCTTGGAGATATTCAGAATCCAACTGGAGGTGACCCTGAGCAACCTGCCATAGGTGATGCTACTTAGAGCAGGGGGCTTTGACAAGATGACCTTCAGAGCCCCCTTCCGTCATCAACCATTCTGTGGTTCTGTAGTTCTGTGAAAAATTAAGCTGAACAGATTTTGAAAAGTCCAGAAGAGAATTGCAGTCTTACCCCAAAAGCCTGTGGGAGCTAATGGAAACTTCTCCAATTGCTTTCCTGGGCTTTGATCAGATCATTAAAGAAACGTGTAAGAGAAAGGGGGGAAAGTTGCAGCTGTGTTGTGTAGACTTCCCAGGGCAAATGGTTTATTTGTGCCCTTTTGGTGTATTCCTCTCAGAAAAGGCCTCTGGTTTTGAAGCCTACATCGAGTGTGGGCTCCATCTGCGTTACTTTGTACAGCACTTGGGATTAATGGAGTGAGGGACAGTGATAACACGTTCTTGAAATCATCTCATGGCATGATTGGCACAGTAGAGCTGGTGCCCTGCTCTTGTCTGATTTTTGCAACTGAAGGTAGCTCACTGGAAACCGGGTAAGGGAGAAGAGAAAGAATTAACAATCCTCTGGATCAGATTGTGTGGGTTAGTTATGAATCACTGACAGAAAATGAGCATGTAAGGGCTGCTCAGAACAAACCGCAGATGTTGAGTGTCTTTCAGAAGTGACCAGAGCTACAGGCCACCGTTTTGGATTCAGTTCTGCTAGGACTGAAAATGGGTGCTCTTGGTGGGTTGTGTTTTAAATGGGTAATTTCTTGGCTCTGTGTTTTTGTTTTGTGGGGGTTTTTTTTAATAAATCTTGTCTGAAAAGGGAAAGTGAGCAGGTATGTTTATGTAAGGTGTGTTAAAATACCCAAGAAATACGGTTCTGCCAGAGGTTGGAGGTCCATTCTTATTAGATCTACATAACAGCTTTGCAATGCAAGCGCTGGAAAGATATCACAGAAATGTGCCCTCTTTTAGAGCTAAAATATTGGAAATTAGTTCTTGGATAAGTTTGTATCCAGTCTTAGGACTCCTTCAGAAGGAGAGGGGTGGTGAAGAGGAGGCAGGTAGAGGGTGTGGAGAGCACAGAGAAGGCCACACAAATGCATAATTTTTATCCTCTTTTGTAATACATAAATGAAGTGGCACTGAATGAAATTAAAAGGCAACAAATTAAAAATAAATAGGAGGAAGCAGTTTTTAATGTGAAGTATAATTAGTCAGTGTAGCTCATAGCTGCCAACTATTATCAAAGCAGATATTTTGGTAAGATTATCAACAAAGGATTCAAATGAATAAGCAAAGCATCTGCAGGGACACCAGTGTAGCTGAGAAAACAATTATAAGGGCTATCAATCCTCATGCTTTAGGGCATAAACAGATCACCAACTGGGGTCAGAAACGCAATTTCCCCCCATGGTTACTGAATAACTTAATTAGGCACATTGTGGAGTTTTATCCAGCATGGGTCATGGCTGGAAGCAGAATATCAGATTAGATGGACCATTGACCTGTATGGCAGCTCTTTATCTCCAAGTTCCTCTCAGAAGGGAAGAAGGGCATTTCTAGCCTTGTATTTTACCCCATTCCCACAAGCACAGTAATCACTAGGCTCACATAGAGATCTGGCTGTCAGTTTTCATTTAGATGCTTGGATCATAGAGATCTTTGCTACATTTGAGTATAGGCCACCACAGAAACTCTCTTCCATGTATGTTATGGTTTTGAACCTGGCTAGCAGCCAAACACCACAACAACTGCTCGGTCACCCTCCCCACTCCCAGGGATGGGGAACAATTAAAGGGATAAGGGGAAAAGAAACTTGTGGGTTAAGAAAAATGTAATAACTAAACTATAATAATATTGAAAGTAATAATACTAATAGTAATATATACAAATGTACAAATGAGTGATACACAGTGAAACTGTTCACCATGTGATGATTAAGGCTCAGCCCATTCATGGCTAACAATCCCAGAACAGGGAGAGTCCTGAAACTGCAATCCTGGAAAAAGAGATAAGAGCCTGAGCATCTGAGAGACTGAGAACGAGATAACCCTGAGAAGAGGGGCAACCCAGAGAGAGAGCGCATTTCTGGACAGATCCTCATCTATATGCTGGGCATGATGTACACTATATGGAATATACTATTTGGGCAATTTGGGTCTCAATCCTAAACCTAAGACTGAATCCCAGGCTAGTAATTGGAGCTGTGCTCCCTCCCAGCCTCTCCTGCCCCTGCAGACACTGGCACAGCAGAGAAGCTGAAAGGTCCTTGACTGTCCTGGCAGCAACTAGAAACATCACTATGTTATTCCCTTCTTCTCAGCACAAATCCAAAACAGTCTCTTACTAGTTACTATGAAGACAGTTAACTCTGTCCCAGCCAAAGCCAGGACAATGTATTTGGAAGATTCAGTAAACCAACAAGGGAAGGAACTCTGCAAACCAACAAGAGAAGAGTGAGCATGTCTTTAACTATGGCAATGATTTGATTTGTATAAAAACCTTAGGTCTTTGTGTGATCTCTACTTTGCCACTTTTCAAAAGAGTTTTGGCTTAACCAAGGAGTGGAGTAGTGAGGAACTGAGGGTGAAAAACATAATGTAATAAATCAGCCCACCAGCACTTCTTATTTCCCTTAATCTTCCTATTTTGTTCTCCCAAGCTTATCTCAGCCACGATGCTTTTACAGATGTCTTCCTTGACTCTTTTCCACCTGGTTTGAGTGTGTCAGCATGATGGTGATTTTGTTAAACTGTGTTACCTTGGGGATGTACCAGCCGTGTGAGGATATGGACTGCCTTTCTGACAGGTGTAAAATCTTGCAGGTAAGCAGACTTCCTTCTTTTTGTGATGGCATCTCAATCTAAGTCACAAATTTGCACGCATACTTTCCTTCAATATGTGGGCAACACCTTCCCAGACAGTTTGGCAAGAACATCCCTGGCAGTAACCTGTTCTGTTGTAAGATGGCAAGAGCTTGCTTTGCGGAAGGGAATGGGTTAAGAGATAATGAATGAGGTTTACTTGTGACCATGCAATGCAGAACAGTTGCTAACCTTCCTGATCCTGTATGTAAGCAGGGGCTTCCTGATATAAACAGCTCCAAGATATTTCTCCCTGGCTTACCTCTGAGCTATATAACTATAAGGTTACACTATGTAGGCAGGAGAGAATAGGAGCCCCCAATTCATTCACTCCTCTGTTGAGGAGCAAGGGTGCTACTGAGTCCACAGGTAATGTGGTATTCAGGATGCCAAGGAGAAAAAACAAAAGGGATGCCAAGAAGGGCCATGGGTACATCCAGCCTACAAATGCACTAGCTGTTCTTGCTGCTTCCTGAAAGAGCAGGTGACAGCAAAGGTTGTAATCTATAGTGTTGCTGAGGCTGTAACGTTTAGGTATCTGAAGCATCCATCTATGATTGTTGTGTGCTGTCCAAGCTGTGCGTGAAGCTCCACTATGTCCTCAGCTGAGCCAGTTGCAGCGGAGTCCTTCCTGAGAGACCTTGGAAGGATGGTGTTTCCCTGGCCAGATTTGGACCTGCTGGTCCTGAGCCAACACCTCCTTTCAAGTCGATGTAACGAATCTCTGAGTCTACATCTATTACTTCACCCATGGGGAAAAGAACTATAAAAGCCCCTTTTTTTACTCGAGCAGTAGGAAGCTGTGATGCTAGCGCTGCATGGAAGAAGCTTTTCCAGCACTGCCTCTAACTCATTTTCAGAAGTACTGAGATCTGTATTTATCTCACTTTCTGCATTTTAAAGTTCAAGGCTGAGAATTCTTATCAAATGTGCTCTTGGGTTTCTGTTTGGCAGGTATTTGATGACTTCATCTTCATCTTCTTTGCCATGGAAATGGTCTTAAAGATGGTGGCCCTGGGGATCTTTGGCAAGAAGTGTTACCTTGGAGATACCTGGAACCGCCTGGATTTCTTTATTGTCATGGCTGGGTAGGTTCATGGTTTCTGGGTTTATTTGTTCTGTGTTTGCTAGAGTCTTGCATGGAACAGAAAAGATGTAACTGAGGAGAAAGTTTCCAGTATGGTGCTACTTCAGTACATCTGCTGAACTGGAATCAGAGATGCTGGGGTTAGCAGTCTATGGAAGAAACAGTAGACAAGGTGGCGTAGATCTCCAGCTAATCTGCAGACATCTATCCTGCACATCAGCAGAGGGTGTTAATTTGTACCAGCTGAAGAGCTAGTCCAGGAACTTTTTTTGTTGTTTTAAAAATATCTGAGTGGAAGAGGTGTAACCTTTACCAGAACCAAGCTAGCTTCTCTGTTTCCAGCAGCAGTGTTTCAAAGGTAGGAATGTAATTTTTGTTACTCTGGGCTTTTTGTCTTTGTACTGCACTGGTCTTGCCCGTGGTACTATTGGGACAAGTTGACATTTGAGTGTTTTTCACAACAAAGTTGCTATGGTGAAGCTCTGTTTTCCCCTCTGCATGTATGAAGTGGAAAGTCTACCCGGATTTGCCTATTGAATCACAGCAGAATGTCCCATCTGTGATATCAGTGGGCATGTGCTTTTTTGGAATTTGTCCATTTTCAATTAGATTGCCTTGTGGTATAGTAAAAAAAAAAAAAGTCAGAAATAAATATGGAATGTTGCTGTTCTCACAGCAAACAAGTGAATGTCTTTTCAGAGAGAAACCTGCACTTTCCTCTTCCTCCCAGCAAGGAATTACCCTCATTTGCAGTCACCTGGAAGCACATGTATTACTGACTGAGCCAGCAGTGAGTTGGAGCTCACTTAGCAGAGTTTTCCCCCCTGGTGCAAAGCAGGACTGTCATTATATTTTCTTTTAACACTGTTCTTCTATAGCAAGACTTGAAAAATCATTCCCTCTGGAGGGGCATGTAGTTGTTTCTGGGAGGACCAGAGAGCTCCTGTTGGCAAAATTGCTGGTGACTGGATGCAGGGAAAGCAAGACCCTACCACAGCAGCCTTTGAGGAGGAAAGGGAGAAATGGATGTGCTTGAAAGGGGGACCTTGGAGCTCATGGTGGTCCTCCATGTGGATGATGTGCTGCATTATGCTGGGAGGAAGGCTTTGCTCCAGGTGGGCACAGAATTGCCAGCATAAGAGGTGAAAGGCTTGGGAACTGGGGGTCTTGCTCTGCCTGGTGTCTCTGCAAGCATGGTATGTGAGTGGTGCTATCTGGAGAGATTAAGAAATCAGTGAGGCAATGCTAAATGAAAGAGGGTGAGCTCAAGTGCTTACTCCATCCAGGAAACATGTGAAATCCATGCTGCCCAGATGAGAAGGGAGTAAATCCCATTTACATGTTTCCCTCTGTCGCCACTGCTGGTAGAAATTTGAGGAGAGAGAGTCTTTTGTGTGTCTGATAACGGTACTAGGAAAAAAAGCTCATATCTGAACTCTTCAATGCCAAGGAGACTTAGAATCAACTCCTTACATATAAAATAATCAGTGTGGAGGATTTTTCATTTCAGGTCCAAAAATGAAAGAAATTTGTTTCCTGATTTCTATACAATTGTCCTCATGAGGTGTCAGGCTGAAATGATAGTAATCTCATTAGAATATCTGGTCTCAAAAGACTTCTGCTAAAGAAAGATTTTTCCATTTAGTTATAAAGAACTAATGACTATATAATGTATTTCGAGTTGTAAAAGCTTGTGGTTATTAATTCATTATTCTTTGAAATTCATTAAAATTATCTGCACTGTTTAAATCAAATCCAAGTCTCAAACTTGCCCTTACATACAGACTGTAGGATTTTATTTAACCTTAGATTTAAGCCCCAAGCTTTATCCTGATTGGTCCCACACCTGGATCATGGCTTCAGCTTACTCTGTCTCCAGATGCTGCCTTAGCCTTCTGACTAAGAGAAGACATCCTGCATTAGGTCTTTTATGTTTTCTCCATGCCAGTGACTTAAGATGCTGATCAGAGACTAATTGGTTTTCTCTAAGGGCCTTCTCCTTTTCACGGTCCTGGACTCATTGTCTACAAGAGAGGTCATAAATTTGGCTCTCAAGAAAACATTCATGATGTTGGGAAGTAAGTTTCAAGAATAAGGACCGCACATCCCAGTCCCTTCTCTTCCCTTCTCCCTTTCTAAATAAACACCAACAAGGCAGCAAAGGTTGGGAGAATAAACTTCATCAGCGAAAAGCAAAGTGCAGGCAAGGGACTGTTCCTGGGCAGCTGAGACACCACCATTTAGCTAGCTGCGTGACAGTGTGTTTTATCAAAGAGCAAAATGATTATTTGCTGCTATTGCCCCAGACAGTGCTTTGGTTACATAAACCATGTACTCTGGCACTCATTTGTAGTTTTCTCATCACTTCCTTGGAAAGCCAGAAGCTATAGTTTTAGTTAGCTGAATTCCCTCGTGTGCCCCTGCCCTGCTTGGTCCTGCTCCCCACGCAATCCAGCAGCTCAAGGAGGAAGACTCCATTGTCACTAAAAATGTTCAGTTTCCATGGCGATAGGAGCTGACATCACCAGAACTTTCTCCCCTCTTGTACACTCCCTCCCCCAACCACTTTCAGCATGTTTTTTTCAGAAAGAATTAGGAAAAAACACAAAACAACGGTCCTAAGTCAACACTCTCTGTCATTGTTCCCCTCAGAGCTCCTAAAACCACGTGAGGTAATTTGGGTTGGAGAATGCTGATGCCCTTGTGCACACAAGCAACCAGGGCTGCAAATTCAGCTTGCCGATGCTCCAGTTCCCAACTGCTCGCTGGTGACAGGAGGTTGCAGATTCCCAGACGTTTCAAGCAGACTTTGCTAGTCACCAGCTGTCCTGGTGGGAGTCCCTCTTCCCCTGCATTTGTGATTAGGTTTTGTCTGTTGTCATTTGTTTCCCACAACGATGGGTGCATTTGGAGAGCTCAGTCTGAGGCAAATCCAAAGGGCAGTTTCCTAAAGTTGAGAGCCTACTAAGTTTTGAACGTTGAGATCATGTGAACAGTAATCATGTTGGAAATACAGGCCAGTGTCTCTACATGAATGAATTCAGGAGAAAAGTAACTTATTTCTGGGCTTCCATTTGCTCACCACCCACTGAATGATGCCCAGCCCATCCCCGAGCAATGATCCCTCCCCAAGCCAACTCCCTCTAGTTTATATACTGATCATGACTTCCTATGGTATGGAGGAACCTTTGGCTAGTTGGAGTCAGCTGTCTTGGCCATGCTCCCCTCCCAGCTTCTTGTGCACTTGCTTTCTTGCAGAGCACGGGGGAACTGGAAAATCCTTGATTTAGGATAAGCACTACTTACCAACAACTGAAACATCAGTGTGTTATCAACATTATTCTCAAATTAAATCCAAAATACAGCACTGTACCAGCTCCTAGGAAGAAAATTAACTCTGTCCCAGACAAAACCAGGACACCTCATCTTTGCCTCTCTCCGTTGTTGCACTGGAAATTGCCACATAGATCTCATAAACTGTGGTCAAATCCCATCCTAATGTTGCCTTCAAGAGTAATGGCATGATTTTGTCTATTTTGGCATTTTAGGATGCCCTTGCAGTGTATTTTAACAGATTTTAAAAGTGGTGGACATCAGAACAAAATACAGTACTCTGTGTAGCCACTTCAGTGATAATACAGTGTCTCTATTCCAGCCTGAAATTTCCCTGTTCCTACAGCCAAGGATTGTAGTAGCCCATTTAATCACTGCATGTCCCTATCAATTAATTCAGCTGCTTCCTTCATTGGCTCCAAGCTTGGTTGGTTGGGGTTTTTTCCCTCTGTCTCCTCTTCTGAAGAGAGAAAATCCCTTCCTATTAGTAGGAACAGCAAAGTTTGTTCCCAGATGTATGCTGTTACATTTTTTCACACTGGAATACATATTATTTGCATTTCCAAAGCACTCCATGCTGTTCTATATTGCTGACTTGTCCTCTTAATTTATTTTTCTGTTGTCCCAAAAATATGCTTCAACTGCAAAATCCATCAGTGATTTTTTTAATTTTCTGCTGAGTCGTGATAAATAAATAAAAATCGGAGTGGCAAGAATTGTGCATTACAGAAATACATCTGTTCACGAATGAGTCCCCATTTACTGTTGCATATGAGGTTTATTACTTAGCCAGTTTTTCTCCAGCTAATGCACGTCATGATGATTTCATACAATTCCAGCTGTATCAACATAATTACTTGTGTGAACCAGACTTGTAATCTCATAAGAAATTATAGCACATTAGTTTGATGATGTCTATTTTTCCTTAAACCTGTGTTGATTATGGTTAATTTTATTATCCACCTTTAATCCGTAATCTATCAAAGCCGCATATTGGCGATTTCATTACTGTACTGTAATCAGCATCAGTCCAGTCAGCCTACTGAGATCACTGTGTTTCTACAGTACTGGCACAATATCAGAATTTCTCTGACCCTTGGATGCTTTCCCAGTTTTCTGAGACTAATCAAAAATAATCAGTACTGGTCCAGATCTTTTCTGGCCATCTCTTTTAAGACTCTTGGATATAAATTTTCCAGGCCTGCTTATCTTAGAATATCCCTATTTTGATAGGCAGAGCCTAGAATACTTGATCCCAGCTGGAGATAAAACTAGCTCATTATCATCTATGGTACACATGCATCATCTTACCTTCCCCGTAGAACTGTTTTTAACTGAAGTTTTCTGCCCTTTTGCACTGTTTGTGACAATTCTGTTTTCTTGTTCCAGTGATTAACTTGTACCATTTTATGTGGTCGTTCAATTCTCTTACAAATTTTCTACAATTTCCATCTCTTAATTTATATTCATTGGTATCAGCTTCCCTGCTCTTGCTATTACATTGCTGCTTTTGCTTTCACTTACGTTGTACTATCTTTTTAGCCTATTTAGCTTTCTTGTCTCTGTTGAAGCTTCTTGGATACCTGATAAATATTCCTAAACACCACTTGATTGTCACCCACAGTTCATGAATGAAAGTCTTTACCCTGACTGGTTTGATGCATGGCT